ATTAGTCTATATTGGAGTTATAGCCCCCCTGGTGGAAAGTCCACGAGCCGCCACTGCAGCACATGATGACAACCTCAAACTTCCCTTCCCTTAAAAATGAGTTCTTAGCTACTATTCTGTGAGTTTTAGCTTTTAGGTGCCGTTTTGCTGCTCTTAGCTTTATGCAGTTTTACTAGTTTTGGCTTCTATCTTCTGCTTAGCTAATTTTCACTTTTAGCCATTGTTTTGCTGGTTTGAGATTTTGTTTTGCCTTTTTAACTGTATCAGTTCAATTTCAGCTTTAACAATTTCCAGCTGTTCTTCATCACTTGCAGTCACACTGCAGTTGTGCAGACAATGCTGTTTTTTTCCTGGTTTGTGATGTACATTTAATTAACTGTTAACAATGTTATCAGTTAAGTACACTAAGAGTTTAAAACTGTCCAGTTTAAACAGGAAACATATTTTAGGTGACAAATTAAAAGACTGATTTAAGAAAACAAGTGTGTGCTTCAGTAAATGTTTGTAACTGATTCGCAGGTCAGAGTACGTACGACACGAAGGGCAAAACAGCTATAGACAGTGCTTACCGCTACGACCCACGCTTTGACAAGTGGCTTCAGATCGCTTCCCTCAGTGAGAAAAGGACCTTTTTCCACCTCAGTGCTCTGAAGGGGAAGCTGTTTGCAGTGGGAGGACGGAACACGTCTGGAGAAATCGGTGAGCTGCTTCCAAGTCCTGCTCTCATGTGTTCATGGATTCTTCATTCTTATCAAAATGTCATGAAAGACGTGCAGCTCACATGAGATAAAAACTGCATCTGGCAATATTTGTGAGAACTAGAAACGATCAAAATGCCCTGATGCTGCTCAATAATCCAGGTAGATACACCAAACCAGGTGGAGTCGGGTCCTCTGGATGGATTCTTCTTGTTGAAACGTTTCATCTTTTATCCAGAAGACTTCTGAAGACTGACTTTGTTGCAGCTCCTCGGACTGAAGAAGTCTTTTGCATAAAATATGAAAAGTTTCAACAAAGAAGGATCCATCCAGAGGACCTGACTCCACCTGGTTAGATAGAAAGCATTTGTTTGAATGTATTTATTTACTGGCTTTATTTTGAAAAGGCTCATTAAGATTCATAGGCCTCCCACTGTAACTTGTCCAGACACAGTGGAGTGCTACAACCTGAAGAGAAACGAGTGGACCTTTGTGGCCAGCATGGTGGACCCTCACTATGGACATGCTGGAACGGTTCATGGGGATCTCATGTACATTTCAGGTGAGAAACTGCTGGTTAAAGGGATATTTCAGACCTTTTATAAAGGGGTTTTGTGGAAAGCTTATAAACAAGTAATATTTGTAGATAACTCTTTGAATGATCCTCAGTTTGAAGAAATACATTTTAACTCTGACTGGACTGGTGAGATTAGCAATCATGTTAACTTAGTTTATTAATCCAAATTAAGATTTTTGTAAGTGCTATCTGCAGAAGGTAAGATTCATTCAACCTTTATTTAGACGGTAAATCCCACTGAGCCTCGAGGACTCATTTACAAGAGAGACCTGGTTTAACAAAGAAAGATGACAACAAAGGACAACAGCAACAACAATAAACAGTTATAAAAAGTCATACTGCAGTTTTTTTTGTTTTTACCAAATAGGATGGCTAAAAGAAAAAGGTAAAAAAATAAAATAAAATAAAAAAACAGCTAGATTCTAAGGCGAATGTAGAAAACGTTGTTTGTTTACATGTATAACCTTTTCACAAAACCTCCCTTCAAAAGATCACTTTAACTCATTTTGTTGTACTTCATATTTTAGTATTTAAATTAAAATGACTGTTTCATTCTTGTCACTTCAGAAGTAAAGTTGCACATCTTTAAAAGTGAAAACGATGTAATAAATGTAGCACACAAAGCAGCTGGTAATAAACTTTCCTTCAAAGAATACTAATGTTTTAAACACAAATCTTGCATGATACATTACAGCTTGGAATGTGGGCTGTGACTAACTCTCAGCTACTACCACATCAAAATTTAGCTTAATGTCTGTGAAACTGATCGATCTATAGCCCTTTTTGTGTTAGCTAAATTGATTAGCTCTGGTGGCCATTTTGAATTTGACTGGCTCCAAAAGTTAATCGGTTGCAGATGTGCATCCAGTGGTTGCGCTCTGAGAGTTTCATTAAAATCTATCCTGTGGTTCATGAGATATTTTACTAACAGACAAACATACAACATGATTGCCTACTTTTCATGGCATTATGTGAGACTGCAATGCTTTGAAAACAAACCTTTAAATAATTCAAGATAAATCTTGAATTTAAGCATTCATGTTTTCAGAGAGTGCACCAACGCAGGCTTCATGTATGAGTTAAATAACTCAGCTGAACAAGATCAAGTATTTTAGCCAAAACCACTAAATAACACCTTCTGCCCTAAATGAGTCATGTTGATGAGCACTTCAAGGAAAGGCCACTGCACTTCTGTTTTGTCTCCGCTGCAGCTTGATGCTTGGGCGTTTAAACACACGATCAGATCCGTTGCTTTGCGGCTGACTACAGAACCACGGGCACAGAAAGATTAGTCGCAGTGCGAGGGCTGAGCAGCTGGCCTTGTGGTAAAAACACAACAAGCATTGAAGATTTGCTGGCAGGAGGTCGCAAGACGCACCGCTGAAGAGCTAGTTAGTTGAGCATCAACCATCTGACCACACTTCCTCACAGAGATTATGCACAGCTGTTACAGCACACAGTGGAGCTCGTCTCTTCTGACTGTCAGTATTCATAAAGAGATAAGATCGTACTTTACTGATCCCGCAGGAAATTAAAGTTGAATTCAAATGAAATAAAGTTGGTTACATCAAGAAAACTCAACCAAAGTTGCTTTTGACTTGTTAACAAATGAGCTTTTGTTTCCTGCTGAAGAGACAATCCGATCATCTTCCTGTGAAACTGCAAACAGCATCAAACACAAAGTGCTCTTTTCTACTCATGATCTGGAAACGCTTCAGAAATAAAAGCCTAGTATTCTTCAAAGCACTGAATATTGCCCACTGCCTATCAGGCCAGAGTTTTTGACTGAAAACTGACTTTTAGCCATTTTGATCAGACTTTGAAAAGTACCCTAATGCACATTGCAAGATGTTTGTTTGATAGTGCTCAGAGTAAATGTTGTCAATGACTCCCAGCTTCACATCACATTTAACTCTGCATCTGTAAAAGTTACTGAGTTATAGTTTTGTGTTGGCTGATGCTGATTAGCTGTGGTGGCCATTTTGACTTGTGATGACCCCAAAGGACAATCACTTGAAGATATAAAGTAATAATAACTGACACTTTCATTTAAATGTGTCTATTGGATATTTTGCTAACACACAAACAGGTTTGACTTAAACAGTAATGCTAAGGCAACAAAGTTCATGTTCAATCATCCAGGTATCAAATCCAATAACTCTCGGTTGGGTCATCTAGTTTCTTTTTTCTAGAGACGTTTCACCCTCTATCCAGAGGGCTTCATCAGTCTGAGCAGTTCCAGTAAACAGTTTCCCCACCAAGCAGTACACTCCTTAAGAAGACCAACCAGTTTGCTGGAGCTGAGATGGTTTCTGGGTGCTGTCTTGTTGCCCGTCGACTCCTCCCAGGCAGGCAGTCGCAGCCAAAGTGGTTCAAGACTTAAGGTTTTAATGTAGAGGTCACGCAATGTTTTGCTTTTATAGCATGGGCTAGACATGAAGCTCAGCCACACCACATTTTAGCTCAATGTCTGGAAAAGTGAATGAATTTAAGCTATTCTGATGTTTTTGTGGTTAGTTTAAAGTGGCTACCATCTTGAATTGGGAGTCCTAAAGCTAATCTAAGCTAAAGATCAGGACATGATGAGTTTTAACTTGGGTAAACTCACAGTTGTGTGTAAACATATCTAGACTATCCATCCATCCATCCATCCATCCATTATCTTTACCCGTTTATTCCATTTGGGGTCACGGGGGTCGCTGGTGCCCATGTCCAGCAATCACTGTGCGAGGGGCGGGGTACACCCTGGACGAGTCGCAAGTCCATCACAGGGACACATAGAGACAAACGAGACAAACAACCATTCACTCTCCCACTCACACCTAGGGACAATTTAGAGTTACCAATCAGCCTAACATGCATGTTTTTGGTCTGTGGGAGGAAACCGGAGCACCCGGAGAAAACCCACGCATACACGGAGAGAACATGCAAACTCCACCCAGAAAGGCCCCTGGACCGGGGTTTGAACCAGGGACCTGCTCGCTGAGAGGCAGCAGCTCTACCAGTTGCGCCACCGTGCTGCCCTCATATCTAGACTATACACATTTAAATCTGCTTCAGTTTGTATATATGAATGAAATATGTCCTTGTTTGTGCGAGGTGTTTTTTTAATATTAGAGGTTTTTTTTCTCAGGCAAGAAAAAAAAGTCTGATAGGATTTTTTTTTTTTGCCTCCAACTCCTACATGTGTCCAGTTAACCACAGTTTTTGTCTGTCCAAACAGGTCTCACTTGAAAATGAGTCTTCGAGGCTCAATGTGATTTATCTGTTTAATTAAAGGTTGAATGAAAGTTTGCAAACTTATTATTAAAACGTTCATCCTGCCATATCTCAACAAGATAACTTGTAGCCAAAACTCCCCTGACCTGGCTGACCTGCTCAAAACTCCTTCCTGTTTGGCGGCAGACTCTGATAGGCTGCTCTCATCTTGGTCTCGGTTTCTTAGCGACCTTGGACAGGAAAACCGCCTCTCTCTGAAAGTAGACACATGCAGGGCTGAGAATCAGGAAGCTCAAAGCCTGCGGTTGTGAAAGTGGGTCTCAGTTATGTAGAACATAGTCAGAACTGACTTTTGTCAGAGGCATTACAACTTGTTGTACCACCTGCTGCTTAGATCCAATAATTGTTTGTGCAACTACAACAGATCCTGTATAAAAGTCTAAAATTCAAAGTGCTAAACTAGATAAAAAAAAATTACAGCACATTCTTTTATTTACAAAACAAAGTTGTTGGCATTCCATTTTCATTTTATCTCTGAACCAAATAATGTTTTTCCCACCTCCATCCCTCCATGGATATTTTTGTCTGCCTTTCTGGGAGTGTAAGTCAGAGTGTCAAGTGTGCTCCATCACATTTGATGGCCTCACTACCTGCACAACTTTCAGTTAAGTACACAAGTTCAGCACCAAGAAAAGCAAATGTCCAATCACTTCTGGTAATTCTCATGTAATTCCCAGACTAATAAAACACTTTGATTTTTTTCATTGTTTCATTTAGTTAATATTATTTGGTTAGTGCTTAGTAAAAAAAAACAACAAATGATTTTTAGAATACTATCAAAATTAAAAACATCAATTTCTTATCTGCCCTAAGGTCACGTCATTACCAGAACTTATAACTTTTGTCACCTCTTAATAGTACTTATAGACAATGAAACATTGGTTACGTACTGTAACCCCAGATTCTATGAGTATAGGCGTAGCCCTTTAAGGCCCTCTCTAGTGGGTTTATCCCATCATGCAAAGCATCCCACTGAAAAGTTTAGTCCACGCCTACCTGTTGTGTGGGCCCCACCCGGTCCGTATAAATCACATTAAGAGCGGGTAATTGGCTCCCAAATAGCTTTTTCTTCAGCCATTTAGGAGCCAGTGAGGCCCGACGCTTAACGGGCTACGCTTATACTCATACAATCTGGGGTTACAGTACGTAACCAACGTTCTATTTTGTATAGGCTTCGCCCTTTAAGAGCTGTCGCTTAATGGGTTAAGGGTGAAGCAGATGTGGTCCTCGCCTCACTGGGTCCATTCGAACACCATATGAAGCACCAGCTTGCCCAAAAAATGTTTTGTCACTCAGCTCTCCATGTGCGTAATTACGTGTTGCGTAATTATGCGTACCATGCACAGACGCGTGCTGCGTAGTTATGCGTTCTGAGTGCATGAACGCCCCAGAAAAGTTTTCAATGGGGAAAAGGAAGAGGCTGAAAAAGGCCGTGAACCAAGCAGATCCACGGTTGATCAATATGAACAGATTAATAATAAGTGAACTGATTATTAATCAAATTAACTGATTGATGACAGTAGTCATGAACTGAAAGTGACAATAGAACAAGAACAATAGTCACAACCTGTGACTGATAACAACATCTCACACTGTAAATGCATGCAGTCAGATGTGAGTTTAAACGAGATTCCATGAAACAACAATGTTCATTCTGTTAAGGCATTAAGGACAGAATGTGTCATGGAACGAACTGTCACATCACA